TTTTTAAGAACCCTAGTGTTGACAGGAATGATTGACCAGTTTTCAGATTGATGCAATAATTTTCTTGGGGCGATAGCAAAGACACCCCTTCCTTTTACTTTGGTGGCTATATTTTATCCTGGTGGTTCTGGGTGACTGTCCTGTTATATTAGTTGATAGCTGAGACTGAATTGCTGTTTTATTCCAGCTTTGCCAAATGAAGTTGTATGTGATCAGCTTCCTTGGGAATCCCTGTATAGCTGCAGTCCACCAAACTTTCTGCAGTCTCAAATGCTGGTAACAGACTTGCCTGTGAGTAGAAACGATTAAGTACCTAAGTCCTGAATGTGGGTACTTACTGGGGAGTGAACTTTTTTTTTGAACTGCTTTTCAGAAGTATCTGAAAAGGTTCTAACTTTCCAGTTTGATGCCTGTTGGGGTACGTTTGAAAGTAAAATTATTGTACACCTTTTTTGATGTGGCTACGAAATATATGTGTGTTCTTTATGGTCTATGTGCTGCATAAGCACTAGGTGTTGTATAGAAATAGCACTGTTACCACTCTTTCAGCTTTACTAAAAGGTATCTTGGATTTCTAGAAAGCCAGAGGTGGGGGAAAGAAGTGGAACAAAATTAAAATCGAAGGAGCTAAACAAAATAACAGTAAAGCATGTTATCAGCATTAGAAGTACTTTTTTGGACTTTGGTAAACATTCCATGTAATGAATTTAAGAAATAGACCTCTGCATACTATGTGACAGTATCACCAGCTGCTTGGTAATGTATTTAATTGATTCTGTCGTAAAAGTGCTTGGCTAATTGCATGGAAAAGTCTTGTGAGTAGACTCAGAGTTCATTTGCTGCCCTGTTGAGTACTGTGCAATATGCTGGTGTGCTTAATCCTTCCATTAGAAGCAGGGATTGTGATCTGAACAGCATTCATGGACAGTTCTTTATATAGTACGATATATAGAGAGGACCTCTATACAGACAATAGGAACTCCTGCACTCAGGAATTTCTAGGTTCAAGAAATCATCTCGAACCTGCTTTCTTGGGGTCAAGCTTTCAATAAGCTACACTTCAACCAGAAGAGATGTCTATGAAGATACCACCATCTTCTTTTATTGTTTTTCTCCTTTTGCTAGGGATTACTCTCCAAGTAATTCTTAAGACTCACATAAAACTTCCTAATAAGCTTCTGGCAAAATCTGAGGAGCTGATTCAACCCCCCCTAATTAAATATAAAGCTAACCTCTCCAGCTAGTGTTGTCTTTAGCACAGGTTAGGGAGTATTCATTTTAAGCAATCTACCAACTGGTTTATGAGGATGATTCTTTATAGTTAGTGGATGGAGGTGAGCAGCTGTGATGGCACAATTTTTAACAGAGCTTGCTGTGGAAGAAAGAGGTGGTCTATATACTAGTTCTACATTATGATTTATGATGCGAATGATAAGCTTCCACCCCAATGGAAACTCATTTCAAAACATCAGCTTAGCATCCACTGAGGCTTTTTTAGTCAAGGTAGACAATATTGCATGGTATCAATTTTGACTATAGCTTTTGTTTGAGTTTAAAACAGGCCCAGCCAACAGCTGTCTTTTTCTCCTCCGTTCCAGTTAATTCATCATAACTGCAGATAGTAATAAACTCTACTGCATGTTAGTAATGTGCACCCATAAATACACATACTAGTGATGACACTGCTGACTACCAAAATTTTGACTCAGAAAATATTACTTCAGCTTTTTTTCCTTGAAGAAACAGAAATTTAGAGGAAAGTAAAAATTTTCGCTGGGAATTTGTGTGAGTGTGGGGAAATCCAGATGTTGTCTCTGTACATATGCAGGGAGATGACTACTATACATTTTCTACTAGGGATAGTTTTGATAGTTGTAGCTTTATAGTATGCTACAGTCACCTATTGTTAAAAAAAAAGTGTTAAGTGACTTTAAGTGACTTAATGACACTTATCAAAAGGTTCTTAGGTTTTTGAAATAATCAATGAAAGTAAATTTCTACTATTTTCATATGTATGTAAAAAATCCTTTTCAACTGAAAAAAAGACAATCCCCATGTCTCTGAAAACATGAAAAAAAATCTATTTGTGTTTTGAATCAATTTCCTTGTAACAGCATGACAAATTGTCCAAGAACACACAAAGTAATAGATATGCTTGAGAAAGGCTTTAAAGATGTCTATTACTACTGCTTTAACAGCAAAACATGCAATAAGGAACTACATTTCCTTCTCTGTACCTGTTTTTTTTTTACTTATGGATTTCATATGAAGTAGAGGAAGTTTTTCTTGGCCAAAATAAAAAGAAAATTAGATTTCTGAATGATGATGCCGCTAAGTGTAAAGTAAATATATCAAATTTAAAATAAGAAAGGATAATGGTAACTGATATGTAAAAGTACGGTATTTTCCTTCATATTTATGGCTCAAGGGTGCAGTACTTTAAATGACTCTTGCCTTCAATGGGCATCACAAGTTCTTAGAATTTCTGCCAGGAAATTCTAAAATGCATCAGATTGAAATAGACAGAATGACTAAAAGTATTTTCTAATTTATGGGCTAAATGTTTAGTATTACAAAAGCAGAAATTTAGAAATAACAACAATAACTCAAGTGGAGTTCCTCTATCTTGTACACATACAGAAAGAAAAAGAGTAAAGATGATACATACATATTTATATATATTCACACAGATCCTTATATACTTATTACAGAATATTACCTATAGATGAGTCACAAAGTGACTTTTTTTTAATTCTACACAAGTACTTTTTAATGTGCTCATTTAGTCATGTCATGTTCAGACATGACGCGAATGCAAACTACATAGGGAAATACAACTGTCAGCTTTTAAATTCTACCTGTCCCTGCCTTGTCCGTTATTACTGCGTAGCAGTGCTAGTCTGAACAGTATGACACAGAATGAGACAGTACACCAGATCTAATTGCCTCGTCATTCTGTAGAGATTTTCTGTTGCTGATGATTTTCTAGAAGGTCTTGCTGTTATTCAGCAAACCCAACACAAGACAGAGGTGCTTTGGCACTCATCTTGTCTCAACCATTTATGTGTCTGTGAAGTATATATGAAGTGACAGATGGTAGTACCTCGCTGGATGACACTCTGCTCTCAGGTTCATCTGTGAAGAGCAAATCAGACTTTCCATTGAAAAATAATGAATTCTTCCTCTAGGCAATTTCTGCTTTGTGTGCACTCTAACCAGTGCAAATGATCGTTTTGTGTATTTGGGCTCTTAACTACTCTAACATTTTCAAAGCAAACGTGTGACTACTTGACTCTGTTATAGTCAGCTGTCGTTCCAGTTTTTTTATATTAGCAATTGAATTGAGAGCTTTACATTTGGAAAAAAAATATGTTTACATATATTAAAAAGAGTTTGTTGCCACTCACTACTTACTTTACGCACACCTTTATGGAAGGGCAGAAAATAATACACAGTATGTGTAAGTTGCTGAAAGGATTTCATGTGGTCTGGGCAAGACACAATATCATCAAAACTTATGTGCTCCCATTAAATCTTCCACAACCACAATAAATATGTTTTCTCAGAAAAAAAAAATAAACCACATGCCTAGCTTTAATCTCTGCTGAATAGATTAGGAACTAAGAGCATAAAAACCTGAAGTCTTGGCTAAATTCAAGTCATGTGTGTCCTCCCATGCATGTTAGCCATAGCCCTCTGAATTCTCAATTATAAACTCAGAATCTTTTGTGCTCCATGGATCTGACCTAAATCCTGCTCTACTTAATGGACTGTGATCAGTTCTGCAGAGTTCTTATGTTGTGTAAGTGTTTGAACTCCACTCAAAAGGCAAGTAGTGTGTTGTCACAAACAGGGATCAGTAAGACTGAACAGGTAAGGCAGCTTGCTGTCTACACCATGCATGTTCCAGAGAGTTTTAGTTTGAATTAGCGCTATCTTGCCTCGATGCATCTGAATGCTTATTAAGAGGATGGAGTGTACTAGGCACACTCCTGAAACTCATCTGGTTTACTTTCATCTGCTATTAGCTGTCAGTCTGCTCTCCCTGCTGTAACTTGTGGTCTTCTTGCAAGATTTCAGCTACGTTCTTCAATGTACATTGTTGTGTTAACTAAAAACCCCAGGTCTGGAAATATTTCTGGCAAATAATTAGTGACAGCAGTAGGTCATCAGTTCTGTTTGTAGTGCAGCACAGAGGTCTAAAAGTCATTAAATCATTTGTCCTCTTAGATGTTGCTAGTTACCAAATGGGTATGTTACAAGGAAGGTTTCAGATAAAACTGTAGCTTGACATCAACAATTAAACATAACAAGCAGAAAGTAAGAACAGAAAAAGCTGAGATGGTTATATCACCAAGTGTTCTAGAAAACAGCAGTTGTTGAGATTACAACCCACTTTTTGTGTATTTGCAACAAATCTGGTTCTAAAACAAATAGCCAAACTATCTGCACTGTTTATTAAAGTTACCCTGTGACTCCTTTAAATACACTCTCTGACTTGACAGTAATTCTTACTTCTCCGCTGCCCAAATATTATTTTAATCAGCTGGCAGTTTGTTGATTTACATTAATATTTCCAAATGCAGAGCTCAGCCAGCAGTCACTGCTCTGCAGAGCTGCCAGTGTCTAATTGTTTCTGGCAATGGTGACTGCCTTTTTTAGGCCCTTTATTTATTTATTTTTCTTGTCCCCCTCAACTGGCGTTTCAGAGCAGCAGCCTTCACAATGCATTAGCTTAACGCATGTTGAGCTCAACCAAATCTTCTATTCCCACTACTGCTAATATTTGTCCACTAATCTACTTGGAATCAGCATGCAGTGTAAATGATTTAGACATATGAATAAATAAACGTCTAAATATCCATATCCTTGCAACAGCAAAACCAGATAAAATGTAATGTTTAGAACAGTCCATTGCTACAAACACTGATTTGGTAAGCAAATGGATTCACATTTGTAGGCTGTTGTGTCACAATTTAGGGAAGTGAAGGGTAACTTACTTGAGCATGTCAGTTTGACAGACATGTAGTCTCTTTCACAGTCGTTCTTACAGCAACAGAGCAACCAGTTTAAGAGGCAGAGCCTGTCACCCCACTGTAGTTCTTCTTTTCTGCCACAAGGCAGAATGCTCTGTTCATCTGAAAGGAGGAGAAACAGTGGCTTTGACATAAATTATGAAGATGACTTTGTGTAAAGAACTCCTTCCAGAGCAACAAAACCAGAAGTCAGCTGAAAGTTAATCTTCCTGCTTTTGAAACCCCTGGCTGGATCAAGACATCTCTGTCAGATTTAAAAGGGTCTCAGACTCAAACAAGTATTTCTGGTACTGTTGTTGCTGATAATTTAAATAGTGTTCAAGACAGGTGAGGTCTAGGTGAAGCACACCAAAGAACTCACAAGGGTACCACATTTCTCAGGCACCTAGCCTTCTGACTGATTTACATGCTTTAGAATCCAAACCAAAACAATTCATCTTTTCTCCAGCTTAACACACAAAATGGATAAATGAGAGGAAAAATAGGCAGAGCTGATATCTTGCATAAACCTGAAGGACTTAGCTGTAGGTGTAACTGTCTCACAACCACTTTCCAGTTTGTCGTCTAAGAGTGGGGGCTCAGGCTGATATAGTAGGGAGGGATTTTTTGAATAATCGTAATAAAACCTTGGGTAATTTTCTGGAGACAAACTCAGGTTTGGCTTGAAGAGACATTAAATTCTATATCGTTTAGTCTGCAGCAAGCCAGATCTTTGACTGGCTCCACAGTTGTGGCCACTTCCCAGGACTGCTGTTGATTCTAGAAGGCTGAGTAGAAAACTGAATCACTTATCTCTGCCAGGATATGGGATAAAGAAAGAGTAGTTTTATCTTGTTCTTTGGTAGCGTACAATGGTTTCTTTTCTATTTATGCATACATATAAACAGAAATTTCCTACTCTCAAAGGGAGAGATGATACCAGCCTAACCCTGTAACCCTGGCACTGGAACAGGTTGACCAAGGAAGTGGTGAATGCTCCATCACTGGCAGTGTTCAAGGCCAGCCTGGACAGAGCCTTGGATGACATGGTGCAGTGTGAGATACCCCTGCCTATGGCAGGGGGGTTGGAACTGGATGATCTTAAGATCCTTTCCAACCCCAACCATTTTATGATTCTATGATTCTGGCTTAAGAAAAGCAGAGTTTCAGCCTATGCAATAATCACTGGCAAAACATTTGCACAAGAAGTGTGAGTGTTGGTGCGAGTGTCATCACTTGTCGTTATTGTAACAGAATCACCCCTTCCTAGTTACTTTGTAATTTATTTTTTATCACATTTCACCAGCAGCCCTATTGAGAGTGATCTTGTCTTGATGGTAGGTAAAGTGTTTTCTGACAAGCACATCTGGGTGTGTAAATGTATATACACTGACATCACCTAGTTGCAGAGTTTTGTAGGGCCTTCCAAAACAACAACAAAAAAAAGAATTAAAATAGACAGAAAATAGTTCATTAATGACAGAATAAAAAGTTTTTAAGTTTGTCAAGGAAGACATTTGTGCAAGCATACTCTTTGGAAATCCATTTTAAATTTCATGAGAGTATTAGAACTGTATCCAGGTTACTTTATGTGAGTAGTCTAAAACATTCCAAATACAGGCAAATAAAAGGTCAAGCCCAATTTGAAAAACACTCACTCTTGAAAGTAAAGGCAGAGAGGGCTACTGTGCATATTGGTACCCAACAGAAGATGAACAGTTCTCCTACATCACCTTTTTGTTTGCTCTCCAGTATTTTTGATTTGGAGCCTTTTTGCCATCCTTTGTAGCTGCAGAATTGTGGAGTTTGGACTAATTGTTTGAGATTTCCAATTCTCCACACAGCTGCTCCAGTGGAAGATCTCAGTACCCTCAAATGCTTTTATAAATATGACCAAAACTGAGGGAGGTGGTATGGTGGTTGTTTTGGGGTTTTTGAAAAAATATTATAGAAGCAACAGCTAGGCTGTGGTACCAATACAGCCATTGTGTAAATAGGATCAACTTTTGTTAACTTTAGAGCAGTTACACAGTGATGACAAATACCAAAAAGGAATTCACCTTCAAGAAAATGATGCAAAGATAAAAATAATATATTAGCAAATTAATTAAAGTAACTTATGCTGGTATTCATCTCACATATTTATCTCTCCCATAAAGTCTGTTTAGTTCGTAATCTACTTTGCAGTTGCCCTAATTATTTTAAACCTCTTTGAACTTCCTCCAGTCTACACCTTTTTGTATGTTTTTTGTTCACTGTTCCTATTTTCACTAGTTCAACACCATTCTCCTCTATCACTGCTATGATTTCATCACTTCTGAGATGTAAGAAAGTTTTCTACAGTTCCTGCCACATAAAATTCCTGTTTTACTTTTCACCGCTTTGGTCACCTGTAGACAAACACTGCTTCTGTCTCATCCAGAAAGTCATACTTGCTTTCTGTTTCTGCTAGTTGCTGTTGAACTGTGTCACTTTGGGATACAGTCTTTATGAAAATGCTAGAAAACTGCTGCAATGCTTTATTATCTTCAAGGAGATCCATTAGGATTGTAAGCTATAAGAAATTATATGGGCAGATCCAATTTTGTATTTCCCAGATGTAGCAAGAGCAAATTATGTCTTTTCTGAATCCAGATGATACAAGTCTTCCATCTATTCTCAAGGGGAGCTGCCAAATAACAAAAAACTCCATGAAGACTTAAAGTGTGTCAAGGTTTTTTTGAGGAAGAAACTGAGGCATAAGCCTATAGCTGTGCAGCAGGCAGGGACAGAGATAGGCATCATGTTTAGTGTTGTACTGACTGAACAAATAATTTTAAGCTCTGTGCCATGAAAGTTCTTTTGAAACTGATAGTTTCATTTGTGAGAAAATGGCATGACTTTCTGAGATGATGTTTCTCTATCACTAGGGGCTAGCACAAAGTATTTTGTCTTCAAAGTATGTTTTACCCTTAGGTAAAGTTGATTTGAAAGCAATTTCTACTACAGGTGACAGAGCTAACAAGACCCTTTTGGGGAAGCACTTCCCAGTACTAACCCCATCTATTCCTAGGTGAAGCGTGCCACACAATGGTGTGCTGATAGTTTTCAGGGTTTGTATTCTAGATCAGCACAACTTTGAATGAATTTCTGAAATGAAAATTAGTAATTTAAGAACATCAAAATGATCACTTCAAATTTAGGTTAAGATGCGTAAAATTAATCCACAAGTTGAAAATTAATCTGCACCATTAAATTCCATTAAATTTCACAGTTTACAGCTATTGTACAGTATCCAAATTTGTATTTTTCCTAAGTTACTATTTTTTTAATTCATATGACCATTGATGTGTCTGTTAAAGTGGGTATTCAGTTCTTGTATCAAACACAGAGTCTTGTAATGCCCTCATCAGCCACCAGCAGGAACTGTTGTCTGCAGCAGAACCCTCTGCACTTTGTAAAAATCAGTCTTCTTTGTTGCCTGCAGTCTGGCTTCCAACCCTTTTTAGCCAGCTGTGGTAAGACAGTTGTGGTGCAGAAGGATCCTGCAGTGACACATAGATGATTCAACAACTCTAGAGCATGATGAGAGGATAAGAAAATAAACAACACATGGCACATTTTAGCTGGATGCTTAATGCTCTGCTTATATGATTTAGATGAACATGGCACACAAACCTGTGCAAAACACACTATAAGGAAAGATATTCTTATCTCTCTGGTGGCTTCATGTGCCCCTCAATTCCTTAGTATTTTTGCATTGATGACAACTAAAGAAATTTACAATAACCATAAATCAGAGGAGAGACCCAGACATTATTTCTATACTATTATAGTACCTTGATACTACCTTTAGCCCTGCATTTTACCATGCTGTCCTTGTTTGTATTGGGGAATCACAGTTTTGCATATTTAAAATTCTGGGGAAAAGTTCTTATTTCTTCCTCTATAGATGCTCCAGCACTACTGAAGCATGATTTTGCGTCTCCAATTTTGGGAAAGTTCCAATTTACAACTGGCTTCATTCAATAGGAACTTTTTGTTTATAATCAGGACAGAAGTGCAGCTCTGAACATAGGTCTGTTGTTTTTTTTTTTTTCCCTTTTTTTTATTTTGGACTTCTGTCAGTTTTTTGACATCTTTCAGGTTGGCTAATAGGATCAAGTTGCAGAAGTACAGTTTCCAATCATGTTTCTATCGAGGATTGTGCTGTTCTATGTACATACAAAATCTTTGTTGGTTGTATTCTGATTCTGTGCTCCCCTAAACACTGGGACTGATTGGGATTTCTGACTGGGATTGATGCTAAGAAATTTACTATACAGCACATACTCTAGCATGAGCATGAATATTTTGTAAGTGCTTCTTCAATGTATTATTTAATGTCTCATATTCTTTCAAAAGGAACATCTGATTCCACAAACGTGTTTAATGAGAGGAGCGTGATTATTAGTGTAGCTTAGCGTACTCTTTGTGATCCTCTTTGCAGTGTGTGTATTCATTCTTTAGCACCAAGTTCCAGGCCAAACCAGAAGTCGCTTTGGATTCACATTCCTCACCTGATGTGTCTCTGAGGCAGAGTTATAATTACAGTACTAAAGGACTAGACATTGTTGGGCTACTTGTCAGTATAGCACCTGCAATAAATCAGAAGTGTTAATTTGTCATTCAGAGCTTTTATTGTCTGTTCAAGTCTGCAGGGTTTTTACATTTGTTTGCTGAGCAGGGAATGAAGATTGCACAATAGGCTGCCTACTCACTGCACCTTTAGAGGCAAGTTTTGGGCAATACATTAAGATGACAACAAGGAAACATGTTTTACAAATTTCTAAAACCTCTAGTCTCTTCTGCATTGGGATTTCTATGACCTACTTCTTAAATAAAATCTTGTACTTGCCAGTTTGGGCCAGTGACTTATGTACTATGTAAGTTTGGAGAGTGAATGGCCACTGTGTACTTCAGAGGTCTGACTTGTAAATAACCCCAAAAGACTAAATTCTGTTAATAAGAGGAGACGGTTAAGTGTAGATTAGAAGCAAAGTTCAATACGAGCTTGTCCTAGTAAGACCTAGTCTTCCAACCAGGACTAAATAGCTCACAATCTGCTGGATGCTCTGCTGGGTACTGTATCAGTCTCCCCTTGA